AGGACAAGGAGCCAGGTACGACAAAGTTAGCACCCGGGCGAAGAGCTGAGCTTCTAAAACAAGCAAGTAGATAATCAGTTTCACTTGTAAGTAATCGGCTGATCACGTAATAATTAACGTTCTCCAACATCCCATAAACTTACCGTGAATCCGGTCGAGCACCAAGATATCCCTTAAAATTTCCTTTGTTCTTAATGTTTCATAGTTTATGTTTTCGAAAATACCCAACAAATTGTATTTTTCTTTAGATCTTAATCAATAGTCAATAGTTGTGTCAGTGTCAGTTGTCAATTGTCATTATGTCAATTGTCACTGCGGCTGCGTTCAGATATCGCACGTAAAAATTATTGTTGATCTATTAGCAATGATAAATAACATTTTGCAGTTCGTTTTTGTTTCCATGTTGCGTTTTGTTATTTTTGCAAATTGTTATCTTTTTCTATATTTTTGTTTTATAATCGTATTGCGTTTTGTTATTGATGTGTACATATTTTTCTTTCTTAATTTTGTGCTTGTGTTGTGTCTGTTGTATTTTTACTTGGTGTTAGCTGGCGGGTGGTGCAGAGTTGCATGTAATTGGTAGCGAGCTTTACGTAATCGGTTTTTATTCATATATTATATCTGTGATTTATCTATTAACTTTACACCTACATATATATAATATTTATACAAATTATTATTATATTTATTACTTAAGTCTGAAAATGATTCTTTTGTGTCTGCAAGCGAAGATGGTGCGTCTGACTGCGATAGCTTCTGCTCATTGGTTGGAACTCTGGGTGATATACTCAAACGCCAGTTCGAGGGTAATAACCGCCAATCATTTAATGTATGTCACATTAACGCGCAGAGTATTCCTAGCCATTATAGTGACTTGTACGAGGCATTTAACAACAGCGACATACATGCGGTCCTGATATCCGAGACTTGGCTCAAGCCTCATCTTTTGTCCACCACCTACCCCCTACCCGGATACATTCTTATTCGAAATGACCGAATTGATGGTAGGGGGGGCGGCGTAGCTATTGACTAATAATAGTTATTTTTTTGGTTTTTAGTTTTGACCTTTTGCTTGATTTTAGGTTTTTTATTTTCTTACAGAAACGAATACTTTCGACGATATATTGATTTCAGATATCGCATGACGTCACTTTTGATTACGATTTATACTCTTAAATGACGTAGCTAGAGCTACCTCCCACTCCTAAACTTTTATTCGTTTTATCTAAGTATTGTTCTCTTATAATTACAACAAAATAAAAAATACGTGTCTAATATTTTTTCATTACCGAACTAACGTACTAAATAAATTTTTAATTTTCATACCCTGTCACCAGCCCTATAATAAGATTTGCCACCTGTTTTCTTCATTATTACAATGCTATGCCATATTAAATTCTTATTAGTGATTATTTGAATAGCAAAATATCCCAACTAACTTACTTGCACAACTTTATGTTGAACGTTGTCAAAATTAAGTTCCGAAATATAAAATACGTAACGTACTTGCCAATTTTATAAGAAAAATATAGAAGTGTCAGGGAAAATAAATGGTAAGTACAGTAATAAAATACCATAGTTTATTTTAGAACATTTATTATAACGTGGTTAACAAACAATTACATATAGTCAGCCAATATGGAGAAAAATTGGCGGAAACATTCCACAGTATTTATTAAAATTACTCACAAGTTTCGTAACAAATTCAAAATTATTATGAGGTCTAAAGGTATCAAGACAAAACTGATTGTATTAAACTACTGTACATTGCCATTGGGCCATAGTCGCCTACAATTAAAGGTGAGTCAAAAGATTTGCTCCAAATGTTTTTAATATTCACCCCCACTGTCCGAGTTCTCAGCCCTGGCCTTGTAAGTGTCAGTATCACTGTCACCCGAATCACTGGAACTATCGGATATCAGCGTTCTATTACCACAGGGCACAAATAACTCCTCCTCATCATCATTTGTTTTCTCTTTCTCTTCGAACTCCTGTGTCGAAAGTTTTTCGTCCTCCGAATCATTGTTACCAAGATGGTCCAGCTCTTTATTGCTGTTCGCAAATAAGAAATGTCTATCACCCTCATAAGCATTTGTCTTCCCTTCCTCATCAAATTCTTTTGGCCACACATTATTTTCTTTATAACATTGTATAGAGTTTTTGTTCATTATTTTCACTATTTCAGCTTTTACTTTGTTTCCTCTAGGTATCGGTTCAACAACGATGTATGATCCTCTTCTCACCCATATGGTTCTTCTGAATTTAGTTGGCATACGTACTAAATATTCTTCACCAGTTGGAGTTATTACCTAGAAAAGAAAAAGTAAACATAAGTATTTGTTTATTTTATAGCACACTTCACTACATGACAGCCAGATAAATCATACATCTACTACATTTCTCAAAGTAGTACATTTTTCACTTTGTAACATAATAATAATATGAATTTCTTACCGCATATAAATTTCTTCCTCTGTTCTTCAACACTTTCACAATGCTTTGATTCTCCTTATGTAGAACCTCATCGTCTTTCCATGTAGTAAGCCTCATTAGTTGCTTTCTTCTAGTTATCAAAGAATACATGTTTGCAAGATTTAAAACACAAAACACACTCAGAACTAAAGATCTCAAAGTATTAAATACACTTGAGTTTACGACGCCTTTAGATTTATTTTACTCGTTTGCAACAAACACAGCGAAGAGCGAGCAATGCGTGCATCAGCTAGTAACGCTAAACACAGAATGAATTCTTCTCACAGAAATGCTACGCACGTAAACTTGTCCGCGTTACCTTGCACCTCGCTTCCCGCTTCCCCGCGCGTAGCCACGCGGCGCCCCGCGTTCGCCTAAGTAGCTCTGTACCGATAGCAATAGCACCTTTGTTACCGCTACTTCATTGCTAGCTGTTTATCTAGTTGTTAATTATTTGATTGTTTTTGTTAAGTTTTGTTGATAAAAACTTATCAAATCATTATACTATATGACTTATGAGTGAGATATCATCAACCACCATACCATTGATGTGGTTTTAAATTGTTTTATTTTAAATCGTGTATGTTCTAGAAATGATTTAGAAATAATAGGTATTATAATGACAATAGAAATAGCATTATAAATTTAAAGGAAAATATCATGTTTTTTTCTATATTTATGTATTTTCTTTACAGAACTTTAACCCTGGTAGAATAACAGACTAACTAACAGTAAAAATGATGTTTTCAGTTAATCGCGTGGTAATTAAATACCTATAATTTCAATAATATATCCGTAGAATCCACTTTAAACTGTCAAACACCAAGCGGTCACCGGTGACCGCAACCTATTGTTCTATAATTGTGTCTGCAAAACCGGTACTCGACGAGTTAAGAGATTTTTAAAACTAGATAAGGCTTAAATTTAAACCGTATCGTTAAAACTTAATGTACCTACTTGGGTAAATGCAACGATATTAAAGTAATGTTCTTATACTGTGGTGGAAATCTGCGATATTGTTACTCTTTATGATTGTATTTGATACTGATTGTTAATTAGCGTACTTTTGTGACAAATTAATAATTTGAAATATAACGCGATAGTTCAAAACACGCGTTATCGTTGATTTACGGGATAACATAAGAAGCAATGTTTACAACTACCTACATAAGTACATTGCAGAGAACAGTGAGATTCAACTAAATATTTTATAATTTAGAGACAATAAACCTAACCTGTATCATAAATACATGTAACATGATTCTTATAAACTGCCCGTGTGAGTTTTATGATGATTATAATTTTATGTTCAACAAGACTTAGCAACAAATAATATAGAGAAGCCTAAATGAAATATATCTATACAGATACCTACTAACACTAAAAGAATTTAAAGCATATACTCCCACCCTTTCAAAAGCAAGTTTTGTTTACTGGTATTAAAAGCTACATTGATGTTTTGTTTCGTTACCATTCAATTCATTTAACAATACAAAGCTCATAGATAGTCTTATCTGTCGAAGGTAGTGTGGGGTGAGATATAGCCGCTTAGAGATAAGCCTGCCTATTGTTTTTATAATTATGTCCTTCGTATTTCTAGGAACAATAATGAGTAAGTACCAAGTATCTATACCTATGGGTATTAGAAAGTGGCATTACATGTGGTATTAAAAACGTAGCCAAAAGGCGTGGTAACTAACTGTTTGGGCTGTATCAACTATAAGAACAGTGTATTTAATTTACTCTTAGGTAATTCAGTTGCGTGGTATCAAATATATCGCCGTGGTATACGTATAAGGATCGTTACTTTAATAAGGTCTTAGGTAGTGGGGTTAAACTTAAGTTTTAACGATACTGTTCAGAACTCATAATTATGTATCTAATTTTAAATTTATCTTAAAGTGATCTTTTTGTACACATTATTAATATTGTATCTAAGTGTTGTTTTACTACGCCCGCCGGTGATAATCTGAAACCATACTTCATACTGTGTTTTTTACTTCATAAGGCTAACGTGCATTACTTTTAAAAACTCTTAAATAAATAACTTAAAAAATAGAGTAGTTACAATATAATAGTCTCTATTTATGAAGACAGTTTAGTAAATTTTGGGTATCATGTGTATAGGAACTTCTATGTTTGTAACGGCGGCACAGTAGATCTTCGTGTGGAACATCGTTTTTTACAAAATTTGAAGCGATGTTTACAATATTGTGGTTTTTTAACTCGTCGAGTACCGGTTTTGTAGACACAATTATAGAACAATAGGTTGCGGTCACCGGTGACCGCTTGGTGTTTGACAGTTTAAGTAATATAATATGTAAAATTAACAATATATTACGATTTAAAAGTATATTCCAGACAACTTTCGCAGAATACACAGGTACTGAGCTGCTTGGGCGAGCGCGGGGCGCCGCGTGAGGAAGCGGGAAGCGAGGTGAAAAGGTATACGTGCGTAGCATTTCTGTGAGAAGTATTCATTCTGTGTTTAGCGTTAATAGCTGATGCACGCATTGCTCGCTCTTCGCTGTGTTTGTAGCAAAAGAGTAAATTAATCCTAAAGGCGTAATCAATTCCAGTTCAAGTGTATTTAATAATTTGAGATCTTTACTTCTGCGTGTGTTTTGTGTTTTATATCTTGCAAACATGTATTCTCGGATAACTAGAAGAAAGCAACTAATGAGGCTTACTACATGGAAAGACGATGAGTTACTACTACCTAAGGAGAATCAAAGCATTGTGAAAGTGTTGAAGAACAGAGGAAGAAATTTACATGCGGTAAGAAATTCATATTATTATTATGTTACAAAGTGAATAATGTACTAATTTGAGAAATGTAGTAGATGTATGATTTATCTAGCTATTGTACACTTTTATAAATCATGAAACTGCAATGTTGTGAAGTGATTTATAAAATAAACAAATACTTATGTTTACTTTTTCTTTTCTAGGTAATAACTCCAACTGGTGAAGAATACTTAGTATCCATGCCAACTAAATTGAGAAGAACCACATGGGTGAGAAGAGGATCATATATCGTTGTTGAACCGATACCTAGAGGAAACAAAGTAAAAGCTGAAATAGTGAAAATAATGAACAAAATCTCTATACAATGTTATAAAGAAAATAATGTGTGGCCAAAAGAATTCGATGGGGAAGAGAAAACAAATGCTTATGAGGATGACAGTAATTTCTTATTTGCGAACAGCAATAAAGAGCTGGACCATCTTGACAACAATGATTCGGAGGACGAAAAACTTTCGACACAGGAGTTCGAAGAGAAAGAGAACACAAATGATGATGAGGAGGAGTTATTTGTGCCCTGTGGTAATAGAACGCTGATATCCGATAGTTCCAGTGATTCGGGTGACAGTGATACGGACACATACAAGGCCAGGGCTGAGAACTCGGACAGTGGGGGTGAATATTGAAAACATTTGGAGCAAATCTTTTTACTCACCTTTAATTGTAGGCGATTATGGCCCAATGGCAATGTACAGTAGTGTTTTTTAATTTAGTATAGACCATTCTTTTGGAAAGACGACGGCAAACATTCTGAATGTTAGTTGAATATTCTTATGTGATCCTAGTGACTGGGCGTGCTCAATATTCAACTCATTCCATAGTGTTTGCTCCTTATACTGTTGGCTTACCATAGATATAGTCATGTATTAAAATTTTAAAGTGATCTAATACCTAATAAATAAGAAATTATTGTCTGTAAGTAAGAAATTTTATTTGAAATACATTTCTCAGAATATTGTAAAACAACACAAGCTTATAAAATCAGTTGTATCTTGATACCTTAAGACTTAATAATAATTTTGAATTTGTTACGGAACTTGCGACCTGTCGGAGATCATAATTATGGTCAAAATATTTGTAGTAGTAGATATTAATGAAAACTGTGGAATGTTTCCTCTAATTTTATTCCCGTATTGGCTGACATTGATAATTGTTTGTTAATCACGTTATAATAAATGTTCGAAAATAAAATATGATATTTCATTACTAGTTCCGTTATTTCCCTGACACTTCTATAATTCCTTTAAATTAATATTGGCAAATACGACACGAATTTTATAATTCGGTATGTCATTTTGAGAAGGCTGCATTCTAAAGTTATTCAAGTGAGTTAGCGGGATATTTTGTTATTCAATCAATCACGAATAAGAATGAAACATGACACAGCGCATTGTAATAATGAACAAAAGCTGGTGGTAGATCAATAGCAATAGGTAATCATAAAGTAATAGGAAAACTGAAGCTTTACACCGGTACTATTCAAAATGTTAGCCTTATCTAGTTTATAAAAATCATAATATTATATATTAAAAATCATATTGTATGTCTGTACAGACACAATGTAGCGAACTACTATAATATTATCTATCATCTATTGTAACATACCTACATTGACGAAATAAACAATATTTGTATTTGTATTTATACTTGTATTTGTATAAAATCTTAAAAGCTAATTCTAAAGATTTATCTAAAAGATCATCAAGTTACATTTTAATACAATGAGATACAACGGAATTTTCATGTCCTGGATGCGTTCACTAACTCATAATTTCATGTACATATTTACATAGGTATTTGTAGATTACATACAGATCGCGGGTTTAATTCCTGCATGAAATTGTTCCATACCCGGCAGCTGGTCACTCACCCACTGCACCAACCACAACCGTGCAGTCACTACACCTAATTAATCTAATAAATATTTGATACCACGCAACTGAAGTACCTAAACTAAACTAAAGACCAGACTAAATTAAATACGCTGCTTTTGTAATGGGGTCTACTGTATCGTTGCTCACTAAATCGCGCTATGATCTTGTCACTCTTCATTCAATAGGGAATTGGCTAGTGTCATGCCATTGCACGTTCAAGTGAAACAAGTGAATTTATTTCTGCAAAGAGGATATAAGGCAACACTTTTACACATTAATTTTTTAAACGAACGATGAGGTCAACTTTTTTTAACTGATTACTCTGAGAAGAATTAATTCCGAAATAATGTCTCAAGTCCGTCGCTTTAAAAGGCCAGACAATTTAAATGATTATCAGTGAGAACCGTGCAAGTTTTATGTAGTGGCCTTTTGAGGACAGAACTATAGCAGCTTGAGCTGCCACCGTACAATATTGGACAACTGCTAGGATTGGACAAATATCTCTTTTTACATTTGCGCCATCTCGTGACCAAAAAACGGTAGCTCCCAATTACCACGCCTTTTGGCTACATTTTTTACTACCACATGTAACACCACTTTTTAATGCCACATGTAAATATTTAGTAATTCAGCGTTACATGAACGAGTCTTGTTTCGGAATCCTGTAAATTAATGATACGCGTCTTTTGGACCAAACCATTAAGAAACGCATTCAGGATATGATATTCCTATTATGTCTAATCCAGTGACGTAGCGTGCCTAGGCGGGACCCGTAAAAGACATTTATTTTGCTTTCTTTATTTCAAGAGAAACTTTTTTACATAACATCACGTCTTTTATCCCCGAAGGGGTAGGTAGGCGGAGGTCCTCACACTCCTAAACATTGATTCGTCTTATCAATCAATGTATTGTTTTCTTATACGACAAAATAAAAAATACGTGTCTAATAAATTTCCTTACCTAACTGATAGACTAATTAGATTTTTAATTTTCATACTCCATTCTAGACTCCGTGCTGTTAATGAGATGACTTAAAACTCAATAATTCTTTGCCTGACCCGGGAATCGAACCCGAGATCCCTGACCAATTGCGACCACTCGGTCAACGAGGCAGTCTTTGTTTAGTTTTTACATAAAATAAAACAATAATAATTTGTATCAAATCTGAAAACTTTCCAGGTAATTTCCTCTGCCCAAATTATAGGCCAATGATTGATCTGGGTATTCTAAAATTTCCGCGATCCATTGAATGTATGCTATACGCGGAAAAAACGTTTATTTTGCCGTAGGTAATTACTGAATTAAAATTCTAATTGGGAAGTCTAAGGTTTCCCGGACTACGCGGGCCGCCGAAGCTGTGAAGGAAAATGTTGGAAAACGGTAGAATCGGTCCATCAAAAACTATCGGTCTGATTACGATTGCAGCGTGGTTCTTCTTCTGAGGCCGAGGATGCTGGTTGGCTGCGACTTGATTACCGCTCAGCGGAAAAGTGATGAATGAGAGGGATGGCGATAAGGATGACGGTGCTGATCTGCTCCGTGAAGTGAAGGTTGCTTCAAATCACGTCGGGGTCACCACCACTTTAGGGAACAGTGTGATAAATTCCCTGATATCGGAAAAGGAGGATCCTCGGACCAGGCGAGGTGATCGTGCTTTCTGCCCAACAGTTGTTCGTTGGGATATTTTCTATCCATGTTTATTCGGTTGTAAACTTTGCGATGTAGGATTCTTGTGACGTCATCCATTGATTTGTGACGTGACATGTGTCGCCACACGATAAAACTTGGTATGATTATACAGGAAACCACACTGGGTATCTACTTCCGTACTTGTATACAGGCTGTCCCTGAAGTCGACAATCAAATGGCATTAGATGATCGGCAAGGCAACAGTTATCAGAAAAAAATTTAAAAAAATTTAAGTCATTTACAAGATTAACATGATTTGGTCATCGACTTCAAGAACATCTTATATACACTAAATAACAACCTTAATTGTGCGTCTCGATCCCTAGACACAGTTACTGTACCAAACGCAAATATACGTTTGTCGAATATTAAGTTGCCTAAATAAATAAATGGGGAAAATTTGTGAAAATTCATGTTTGTGTGTTATTACTCAATCTCATCAAATTCGTCATTAAAAATAACTAGAACATGTAATAAAATACAATATTCAACGTAAATCGTTTATTTCAATAAAAAAAACTTAAATTACGACTATTACTTAAATAAAATTAAAACTAAATATTACTAAATTAAATATATACAACTTATATTAAACAATATTTTGTTTTAGAACATTTATATTGACAACAAAATTGGTGGATACAGTCCTCAACATATTATATTAATATCTATTATTACATATTATGTTTTGTCCAAAATTATGATCTCTTATAGCGCGAAATTTCCGCAACAAATTCGAAATTGTAGGTAGATCTCTCTCTCACAATATGAAAATATTAGTTTTTCTTATCACTAAATCATTTTTTAAATTTACTAGATACGTGTATGTTTTTGGTAACACAACTATATAAAGGGCAAAACCTCTAAATGAGGGTAACAAGTACTAGGTCTTTCCAGAGAAAAGATTAATTTATACAAATGTAAAAGTAGTGTGCCTTGCTATGGGCTACCGTAGTATTTATCTATGAGAAAATATTTGCTCTAAATCCTTTCACGATTCAAATTTAGTTTGAAATATTTTTAAACTTATTAATGTATTTAAAATTATAAATCACTGTCGTGACCACTGTCCGTGTCGCACTCCGGGTCCGTATCACTATCATCACTGATATTGCTATCTGAATCACGGTCATCGTCATCCAAATCACTGTCATACAATTCTATCTCTCCGTCACTGTTCACAAAGTAGTCATCATCATCAATTATTTCCTGATTATCGTCCTCTTCGCCGTCAGTGCTGTCCTTATCCGTTTCACACTCCGTGTCCGTATCATTGAAGATACTGAGGTTGCTATCTGAATCGTCATCAAAATCATCATTTTCACTTGTTCCCTGATTTTCGTCGGACTCTGTACCATTACCACTGTCCGCATCACACTCTGTGTCCGTGTTACTGTCATCACTAATATTGCTATCAGCATCACTTTCATCACTATCCAAATCAATGTCACCAAAGTATTCCGGCTGTCTAATTCTCTTCACATAAAAGAAATATCTGTCATGATAATTATCACGTGTTGCCTGATTTTCGTCGGACTCTTTACCATTACCGCTGTCCGCATCATACTCCATGTACGTGGTACTGTCATCACTGATATTGCTATCTGTATCACTGTCATAACTATCCAAATCAATGTCACCAAAGTATTCCGGCTGTCTAATTCTCTTCACATAAAAGAAATACCTATCATCGTGATTGTCACGCGTTGCCTGATTATTGCTATCTGCACCACTGTCATCACTATCCAAATCAATGTCACTAAAGTATTCCGGCTCTCTAATTCTCTTCACATAAAAGAAATATTTATCGTCATAATTATCACGTGTTGCCTGATTTTCGTCGGACTCTTTACCATTACCGCGGTCCGCATCACACTCCATGTCCGTGGTACTG